CCCGGCTATTTTTTTGGTTGCAGCCGTCATTGTTGTTTGGCGGGTCCGGGCTGGGGATTCGAACCCGCCACCTTAGGTGTACGTGGCTGGCACCTTAGCCAGTTGAAGGGTGGTGGATTCTTAAAACCTATCTTGTTTATCCAGCAGTATTACTGGCTCATCCTGAGCCCAGTCCACAGAGCTGCCCGTCAATAGCACTGGGAGCATTGAGGATCATTGAGAAAAGAGTCACTTTTATTGGGAACTATAGTTCTAGAAACAAACCACAAAATAATTCCTCCACTGGATTACTGTGATTTTTGCAGTGAGGAGATCAGGATGTGAGTGGCCTTCTAGCCTCCAAACCGATCAATGACCTTCTGTATCCACTTCTTTAGGCGGAACACGTGCGTATAGAAGCCGTATTTCCCATCCCGGTCACAGCCTTCACCCCATGACACAATGCCTATTTGATACCATCTGTCGTTATAGGGGCTCTGAGGAAGAAAGAGTGTGTTTCCAATAAAGTGCAACATAACTGTTTTTCTGAATACTATAGTATGTCCTTACCCACCTCTCCCCACCCCTGGAAGATCTACCCACCAGGGTCTGGCCTTTCTAAAAGCTTACCTTCATGACAAAGGGTCCCCCACTGTCACCTTCACAAGCATCCCCTCGTTTCCCTTCATCTGGCTTGTAACCTAGAGAGAGAACAGCAGTGCTCACGAACAAAGTTCAGAGTCCAGCCAGTCCCCTGCAAGGGACTGCTGGAGAGTGTCTACTTGATCCCCTCTGGTCATCCTTGGCCTCTTCATTTCCTTACCCCACACATCCAATTCTTTTTTTTTTTTTTTTGAGACAGAGTCTCACTATGTCACACTGGGTAGAGTACCGCGGTGTCACAGCTCACAGCAACTTCAAACTCTTAGGCTTAAGTGATCCTCTTGCCTCAGCCTCCCAAATAGCTGGGGCTACAGGTGCCCGCCACAATGCCCAGCTACTTTTTGGTTGCAGTTGTCATTGTTGTTTGGCGGCCCAGGCTGGATTCGAACCTACCAGCTCCAGAGTATGTGGCTGGTGCCCTAGCTACTGAGCCACAGGCACTGAGCAACACGTATCCAATTCTTTAGCAAAGTTTGTTAGGTTCCACCTTCAACAAGTATCCCTCTTCTCACCAATTCTACCCTCAGCCAAGTCATGTACATCTCTTCCCTGAACTACTAGTTTTCCTAATTCTACTTCACCGATCTACAATCTATTCTCCGCCCAACCGGCAGGATAATGCTTTTATTTATTTATTTTTCATTTTCTATTTTTTTCTGAGACTGAGCCTCAAGCTGTCATCCTGGGTAGAGTGCTGTGGCATCACAGCTCACAGCAACCTTCAATTCCTGGGCTCAAGCAATTCTCCTGCCTCTGCCTCCCAAGTAGCTGGGACTATAGGCGCCCACCACGCCTGGCTATTTTTTGGTTGCAGCTGTCATTGTTGTTTGGGGGGCTCACACTGGATTCGAACCTGTGTATGTGGCTGGCACCTTAGCCCTTGAGCCATAGGCACCAAGCCAGGATGATGCTTTTAAAAAGTATGTCAGGGAGCAGAGGGAGGGGAGGGGAGGGGGAGGATGGGAGAGGGGAGGGTGATTGCCAGGACCACACCTATGGTTCATCTTACAAAGGTACATGTGAATCTTTCTAAATGCAGAATATAAATGTCTTAACACAATAACTAAGAAAATGCCATGAAGGCTATGTTAACCAGTTTGATGAAAATATTTTAAATTG